GCCTGCATTTCGCGCACTCGACACGCACGATCTCCGCAGAGGGTTGCACTTTCGGTTGACGCTGTTCGTCCCACCCTCCGCCTTTAAGAGAGAATTTATAAAGTGGGGAAATGTTTTTCATTAGGACATCTCCCGTGCTAGTTTTCCATGCTCATCATTAGTGCTCATCATTAGGACATCTCTCGTGCTAGTTTTCCATACTCATCATCGCACTTGCATCATTACACTTGCATACTTTGACACTTGCATACTTAGCACTTGGATGCTTGCGCTCTTCCACTTACACTGGGGTACGTATAGCGTTCATGTTGTAGTGCAAGTGTGGTGGAAGTGTCAGTGTGTAAGTGTAAGTGTCGAAGTATCAGTGTTCAAAGGATTTTCCGGAAGAACCCTTCGCAATGCTTTCGGGAAAAAGAACTGAAGGTTTTAAGAACAAGTGAAAACACACCAGAACCAAAGCTGTTGGGGTCAACATCACACAACATCATCGAGTCTTCCAACTTCCAGCACGGCCGCACCACATCCAAAGCGCTAAAGGAGTCCTTCGGAAGGCACCAAAGCGCACCGCCAGCTCGAAGCTAAAGAACAGGACGAAGAGGTTCTCGATGACGATGATCGCCTTTCTAGCGCTTGGCTAAACTCCATCCGCCAACTGCCGGTAACTATATAGTTTGCATGGAGGATTTGAAGGTTTGGCTCAAAAATGACACCGCCTTAAAACAATGCAACAATGAACAGTGGAGCCAATACAGTATGACCCAATGATGAACGTTTAACTGGTTTAACATGGTTTAGCCTTAGCTATACAAGAGCGGCCTATCACTTTTCTGGCCGGAACAAACCTTGGGCGTGCGACCTGTTGGCTTCCCACTGTCCAAGCAACCGGATGGGCTTCTTGGATCACGGTCGCATCATTCAACTCCATCTCGAGGCCTTGTTCGTCAATGAGAAGCACTGCTTGTGATCTCAGTGCATCTCAAACTGTAAGAATCAATGAGAAACACACAAACTGTGCTTCGGTCTGATTGCGGGACACAGTCCCAATCCCTTTACTCTGGAGCTCCTTCTCTTGAAACTCAAGACATCATATTATACTGATCCCGTCTCAAGAAAAACCTTGCGAGCACCTATGCTGTTTGCTGGCCATCCTTGCTTATCAACAACCAACAGGTGAGCCTGTCCAAAGCGCATTTGCTGCCAAGACCACGAAGGTCATTAATTCCTCACAGCGGGTGATCTGCCAGAGTGAGGGGTTCCTGTTTTTGAAGGAAACGCTCACTCCCACAAGGTCATCACTGAACACGAGGGAAACAACCCAAGCACCGATACCATCCAATCAAAATAGGTCTGGTTGACCAGACATTCACTTTGAACAAAGCAGGAGAACCTATGTAACTACACTCTGCACAGCAGGCAGTACTTCGTAGTTTGTTTAGGCGATTGCTATCAATACCTTTTAGATCCCTTTGGCATGTATTCTACGAATCTCTACATCTTCCAGTGTGGATTGGAAGCAAAACGAGAATCATCATCTCATCACTCGCCCTGAAAGCAGCCAGGTCTCAAGACTCCGACTTCGTGCCACCCGTTGGCCTTGGAGGTGACCAGGTAGCCCCCGTTGGGCCATGGGATCACAATTGCTTAATTAAGTAGTCCAGTTGTTTCTGATTCAAAAGGCAACAAAGTTCCTTCCTTCTGCCTTTCCCTTTTAAGCAGGCCTCCTTCATGAAGTTTGCAACAACCTGTTCAGTAGAAGCAAGCCAAACTCTGCTTTTTCACCTATGTTCATCCATATTCTAAGTGCTGATGCCATGGTCCATTCCAGTTCTGTGTCGGAGATGAGCACCCGGCAAAATCCGTCAGTATGGTACATCTTGCAAACATCATAGCTCTCCTCTTGCAGCTGTCGTAAGATGCGTCTCTTGTCTTGTCGTCTGTGATCAGTGATCCTACACTATCCTTCACTGCTGCCTGCAAATCATCACAGCGTGCGAACTGGCGTCCAATAGCAGCAAACTTAAACAGGGCAACATGATGCAACATGGATAATAAAATGATCATGCTTTTCCTCTAACGTGCATTCTTTGAGTACTTCGCAGTAACCGTGGTGATCACCACTGAAGCCACAGTGGCTAAAGCCTGTGCTTGAACTGCCATCATTGAAAGAGTTTAAGCAAGCCGAGTAATTTGGTCACCGAGTTTGATCATGGAAGTCCTAGCACAGCTTACGGCTTTGCCTTAAACAAAAACAAAGTCTCCTTGCACAAATCCTCCTTCAGCTTCTTCTTCAGGGCTTTGGCATCGATGAAGACCGTTTGCCCGGGATCCACCTCTTTCACTTCCGGCTCCTTCCTCGAGCGGAGAGTGGGTTTTTGACCCCAAGAAACGTATGCCGTATGCCCACAACTTGGACTCACACCTGTGCAACACTGATAACTGTCATAAAATCCTTACAGTAGGTACTTCTGTACCTATTGCCCCTCAACTTTGACGCCTTCGACTTTATTGCAATCCCTGGAAGTGCCGTCCATTCTTGTGGAATGTCAGGAACTTTATGTGAAGCCTTCACCTGATATTTATACTGCTGGAAGGCTATATGATACCATTCTATCAGCTTTGATACCTTCGACATCATCACTCGGACGAATCCAACCTTTGGCCCGTCGACGGCCGAGCCGCGCTGCCGAGTGAACCGCCTGCTGCACGGTGTGGCGGCAAACCCCGACCGAGACCGCGGAGACCGTGGGCACCGGTGGCGAAAGACCGCCACGCTGGGCTGGGACGATCGAGGTGAAGGTGGTAGGGCCTCAGACACAGCCATCTGCACATGACTTGAGGATCAGAATCGTGTCCTCATGCTGGATCATGCTGGGATATAGGTCAACCGAATTGTGGCTGTGATGATGTGAAAGAGCAGTCAAGCTTGTGTCGCCACCGTCGATGCAGGAAGTCTTCTCAAAAGGTACCAAGATCGCAGTTTAACAGGGGCAAACACCCAATATAACACATGCCGAATGCACATGTCAATGTTGATCATAGGAGGTGACTCAGAGATGACCACAAACTATCAGTCCAGGATGGGGATGCAACCAACGAAGCATGGTATGGCTGCACAAGAAAGTTTAACCGAAGGTCACTTGGCTGCTTTATAGGGCAATTTGACATCTAATCAGATATGCACCACCACACTGTACACCCAAAGATGTGAGTTTGGTAGGGTTGGCTCCAAAGACATGCATGTGTATTAGTATACGTGTATATATGTATATATATATATATATGAGTCTTCTCTGCAATATTCTGCAATTATTTTCTCCTGGAGAGATGTCCGGTCAAATTAGCCACTGCCACGGTCATCCGCCATTGCCACACTGGTCGGCTATTTGCTGATACATGACCCACCCTATACTGCCACATACAGCCACACATACCGCCACAATGAGGAACCCACCCAGAGATGTTCGGTGGCTCAGAGGCGAACAGGCGTCCAAAATGGCACCGACGCCAGCAACTTCCCTCCACTCCATGAGACTCGCGTCACTTCGGCAAGGTGCGGGGGCTGGCCAACTCACCCGGTAGTTCCAGTCCTGTCAGAAGGCTTTGCTGAGCAAACTGGAGTCACAGACCAAACACGCGGAACACATCTAGAATCGCCGGCTGTGCTGTCCAAATCAACCCTATCAATTTCTGGTGCAAGGATGTCCAGGGGTGTGCAACTGCGAAGCGCCGGCACTGGCCTTCCTTTGCTTCACCGCAAGTGGTGAATCGCCTGCAGTTAAATGATGAAGCAAGCTTGTCCGCTCGAAGAAACCAGTGGAACAAGGAGCCTACCGGCCTCCCTGGTTGACATCATTTACCGTCCTCTTTTGCAGAGACTTCTGAGATACGCCTTTTTAAAAATGGTAGTTCTATCTATCACAGCAACTCCGCTGTGAAGCACCCCTTGAGCTACCTGTAGAGTACCAAACACTGTTTCATGTCAATGTCTCAAATAGTCCCTCGAAGTTCAGCATACCATCCAAAGCGATAGATTGATTGTCAGCAGGGCCAAGTTGCTGCGGAGACCAAAGTGCCACTGAATGCTCCTGGAGCACAAACACTGCCTAAGGTAGTTCTCTTGCCATGTCTCTCTCTTGTTTGTTTGGGTGTCTTGCGGGAGATCCGATTGTCTCATCACGGAAATTTGCCATGTGTTATGTAAATGATGCTAGAATTTACATGGACATGTATTAAATTGTACTAACATATATACATAACAAAGTGCCCCTGATTCTGAACGCACGATACTCAAAAGGGTCAAGTCGGGATGCTTTCCCTCAAACAGGATTAATTGCAGTACATGTTCCACCGGCCACCTCTGATTCGCAAATCTCAGGCTCCTTCTGTCTTGCCAAACTGTTCCGGATGGCCTCACTGCTACCGGCCAAAGTGTGCCTCGGTGGAAAGCATGGTAAGATTCCCCCACAATGCGCTTATCCGCTTATATCATATCATCAGCCTTTGGAATCACAATTATTGACCACTTGGGTCCCAGATCAAGATGTGTGGACTCTACAACACAGCAGCTCTGAAGGGACTGGGTGGTTGTGAATCGATTCCATGCAGCCCAAACATCTGGAGCAACGAAAATAGCATAAAATAACTAAAGCTGCTTCTAGGAGCCTATAGAAACTGAATGAAACCGACAAACCAGCACCAAAGGAAGTCCTAGTTTTCTGGATCAAATGTGGACAGGCCATCCATGTTTGCCATTGTCTGATGGTTCCAAGATGCAAAAGCTGAAGGATCTGCTGCTCCAAAACGCTGGTGCTTTCAATGAAGCTTTCCAGGGGTGAGTCACACGATTCCATGGCGAATGGCGAGCAGTTTGGGCCACTGGACAAATCGGACCAAACCTGGTTGCACCTGATGTCCATTCCGGCCTCGCGGTGAAGCATACATACCTATTGAGATAGCTGGATTCCGGATGGATGTCTGGAAAACCTGCCCTTGGTACTACCTACCTACCAACCAACCATCCCTTGCATCAAAGATTGCACAAAACAAGAGGGTCTTCCACGCGCTTCCACATGGTCCGGCATGCTTTCATGACTTCGCTGCCAATGACACAGTCCTGAACTCGAAAGTGGACCTCCAAATCCTGGGCAAGCGTCTCTCTTCAGTTTGTATGGTAGTAAAGCACTTCTGTCGATGGCTGTACCACTGAGAGTGCAAAACTGCACTGGGGCTCGGTCATGGGCCAGTTTGCCCCCGTCAAATGCCTGCACAGGAGTTGGTGCATTTAGCATCTACCGACAGAATGGAATCATCAAATGAAGAATAAAAAAACATCAAGACCATCAAAACACAACAGCTAGCTAGCTGAATAAACTACACATTAAATTAGCACGGGAGTTTCAAATTTCTATATACAGTCGCCAAATCTAAGTATAAGTTTGCCGACAGTCAGACGCAAAATATACACCGTCTAATTGTCCTAAACATGATTCCCCCATATTCACCCGTCATATCCTGCCTAAATGTTTGAAGAACAAAATACAAGACGGTATTTGCCCCTTCAATTAGACCCACTGTTGATTCTTCCTTCGCATTTTAAGTTGAACCTTGAGGGTCTTTGAGGTCGAGAGCGCTTTGCCCCTCCCTCCGTGTGCCTTGGGCCCGAAGCGCCGCTCCAGGACGCGCGCCCGGAGAAGTCCCGAGAGGCGCAACATCCGAAAGCGACGAGGCCATGGAGCGAAGCGCGGAATGGACGCTCGGAAGGGGGCATCAGATTTGCTAATGCTGCTGGATCATGCATTTGGTTGGACTTTGGTTCTCGGGTACCAGTATGTTCAGTTGGTATCAAGATGCCGGGTTTGGAAACAATGACATGGGGGGAACGTATGGGAACGTATGCTTCTGGACGACTTGGGAGAAGGTGCAAAATTGACTCTGGCCACCCCTTGGCATCACCATGTCTGAATATGTGGCCAATATAAACGTGCTAAAGCTGCCAATGTGAGCCTCACAAGTTGCAACTCTTGAAGGTGCTGCTGGGTTATGCTGGCTGCTGGACTGCTGGACTGGACTGTCTAAGTGCTTGTTGCTGCTGTCATGCCCCCACGTTGTGCAAGAGCAACACCAATTGTTGAAGCTACTGGGTTCAGCTGCGGGAGAAGAACTCTGGAGCAAACCAAGCCAGGGAACCAAAAAGCCCAGCATGACAAAGGATCTGAGGCCCAATGCAGCAAACTCTTCACAACAATTACACCTGTGGCTCACCCTCATACACAATGCCACACGCCTCGACATACACAAAAGGCAGGGGCAAAAGCCTGTGCTCTGCCACAAACTTGAGGACACATCCACCTGACTTGGACCACATCGGCCGCCTTCTTTTCAGGAGAGCCGGGGCGACTTTTACGCCGGGTAAAACTGGACGCCGTTGGCACCCCTTGCGCCAGGACCGGCATTCATTTTGCACATGTTTGGCCATCTTCTCACTGGCCGAGGGGAGGCCAGAAAACAAAAAAACTTGGCTGGGCTGGGATGTGACTTTGCAAATCTGCCAGGGCTGCCAGCACCATGGATTGTGTCTTGACCTCCCAAGAATGCCGCTGCTCGCATGGTCGGAGGTGAAGGAGATGCTGAATCCTAGAAACGGAAACGGGTGTCTCTTTCTAATTTGAAGGACCTTTTCCTTCAGTGAAACTTTTCAGGCTTTCAGAGAATCCTCGACGAGATGGGTCAACATCATTTACCGAAACAAGCCGGTTAACTTGCGACTCTTCAAAATGACCTCCCCGCATCTCAGGCGATAACTTTACTCCCAAATGCCGGCGTGAAGTTGTAGACCTCACATTGCATCCAGCCTGGAGCAAAAGGTCCAAAGAAAAGCCCCACAAGGCAACAGCACAGAAATCAATGGCAAAGAACAACGACCGACGCCAGCAGCCCGCCACAACAGCCGCATCCTATATAACCGAAAGAAACCTCTGTATCCCAAACGACTGCGAGCAAGCAACCGACAGTGTCTCTTCTCGCCGCACCGCTCAGATCCGGAATCGTGCAGAAGCCCTCTCACCCGCAAGGTCACAACCTCACGCCACCAATCTGAAACGGAGCCAGAAGCCACGGCAAAGCCAAGAGATGAAGCTCCGAGCACCATCCGCCACCATGATCAGCCGACGCATTCCCGCTCGCACAAGCCGTCGGGGAAGATCTTTACAACTTTACAACCATCCTCCGCCTGCAAACCGCTGCTCGTGTGCTCTCGTTGCCGGAAGCGGAAATGTTTTGACCGTGGTGAGCCTGTGTGTTGACAGGATCCAAGGGCAACAAAGCCATTGCTACTCACCACGTCACCTCACCCCACCTCACCCCACCTCGTCTCACCCTTACCTCACCCCACCCCACCTCACCCAACCTCACCTCACCTCACCCCATTTCGCCTCACTGCACCTCATCTCACCTCAGATTACCAACCCCACCACTCCACCCCACCCCACCTCACCTGGCCTCACCCCACCTCACCTCACACCACCTCACCCCATTTCACCTCATCCAACCAATGAAGGACAATAACACCACACGTAGGTTCTACAGCATTGACCAGCACCATTGATTTTGCGGCTCAAGTGGAACGCATGTGAAAGGTTCGAAGGCAGTCAGAAAAACTCTCAAAGTGAATTGATTTCAGCTTCGGCATTCCCTGTGATTATCTCTGAAACAAATGCTCTTTTTGTTCAAACGAAAAACATATTGACAAACTATTACAAACTCTCACTATCCCAACCACTGGAGGAGCGACCGTGAGCAACGAGTCTCTGTTGGACCGCCCATGTCATGCGAGAGGTATGAGAACTGGATATGAGACAACTCAGCCTCACAGCTGACGCAAGCAAGAAAAACACATCCGTTGTTTCGACAGGAAAAGCGTGCATATTTATATATATATATAGATATAGATATTATATATATATATGTGTGTAATTATATGTACAAATACACTAAAATACACATAACACCGGCATAGACCCCAGTGAGCATGTTGCGAAAGAAAACTCAGGAGGTGTATTTCGGCCAACGCCATCTCCAATACAAAACAAGTTGGCATGGACAAGCAATCCAATGTGAGATCAGGGATGGCTCCAGAATGCCAAAAAGTTGCGATCAAGGCCTGGTTCCGGTGTCTTAGGTTCCCAGGCTTCAGAGTTCCGCGGTTCTAGGCTCCGATCAGTACAGTATATGATTATGATGGCCATACACAATTGCAAAATTAGGCCGCCCCCTTGGGTTTAAATGCGTTCACATTTTCCACATCCAGCATACAGAAGACTATATAACGTGTTCACAGCCACATTACCAAGAATCATCGGTGTTTCTTTGCGGAACCTCTCAGCTTCAGTCAAGGAGTCAGAAGTCAGTGCCTGGAAGTACCCGCAATAAGGAATTAGGCATAAGGGAACTAACTACATAGAAGAGATGGCCTCCAACCTATTAGCAATGGCCTCCAATCTACTAGCGATGACCTCCAACCTAATAGCAATGGCCTCCATCCTACTAGCGATGGCGTCCAGTGCCTACTAGCGATGGCCTCCAACCTAAAAGAATGAAGGTAAGGGAACTGAAAGCCAACCCACCAAGTGTCTGAATTGATCTGGCTTCGCAGAGTTGACCTCACCGTGAGTGCCCAGCTCATACTTCACATGACGACTTGCTGCAGCTTGACCTGTCGGGTGCTGGAGCTGCAGATTTTACCCGCCAAGCATACAGAAGGGAAAATGCTTTTTGTTCCTAGTAGTAAGAATGCTCCTAGTAGTAAGGCCAGGAGCCCCTTGTAGCATCCTTGTTCCTAGTACCCTTGGCCCTCCACCGTGGGCATTTGGCCATTGACCTCCAAAGTCTTGTCGCCGTGCAGCAGCGCAGACGCAGGATGAGACACGTTGAATCTTGGCTGCGGTCCCCACCCTCAGCTTCTCCATCGTTCTCTGATCCAAAGTCAGAAAATACTTGTTTGGATCATCTCCGGCATGATCTCTCTTTGTTCACATGTAAGCCCAAGGCATCTTCCTTGTTGAAGCAGATCTGGAACTCGAAGATCCGCGCTTCCCTCCATGGCCAGGTTTCGTCAGCGCCCAAACTGCTTGTCATAGAGGGAATCGCGTGACTGGCACTTGGAAAACCCAGTGTTTTAGAGCGGCAGATCCTTCAGCTCTTGCATCTTGGAGCCATCAGACAATGGCAAACATGGATGGCCAGCCCATGATTGGTCAGGAAAACTAGGACTTCCTTTGCTTTTCATTCAGTTTCTATGTTAGTTCTTGGGAACCCGTCGAGTGACTCTGGCCACCCCTTGGCATCACTATGTCTGAATATGATGCCATCAAAAACATGCTAAAGCATGCTAGAGCTGCCAATGTGAGCCTCACAGGTTGCAACTCTTGAAAGTGCTGCTGAGTTATGCTGGGCTGTCTAAGTTCTTGTTGCTGCTGTCATGCCCCCACGTTGTGCTAGAGCAAAACCAATTGTTGATGCTACTAGGTTCAGCTGCGGGAGAAAAACTCTGGAGCAAACCAAGTCAGGGAACCAAAAAGCCCAGCATGAAAAAGGATCTGAGGCCCAATGCAGCAAACGCTTCACAACAATTACACCTGTGGCTCACCCTCATACACAATGCCACACGCCTCGACTTACAGAAAAGGCAGGGCCAAAGCCTGTGCTCTGCCACAAACTTAGGGACACATCCACCTGACTTGGACCAGATCGGCTGCTTTCTTTTCAGGAGAGCCGGGGCGCCTTTTACGCCTCCGGGTGAAACGAAAGACGCCGCGACCGCTGGCTCCTGTCTCGCTCTGGGCTCTGGCCAGCGACAGGGTGCTGCGTGGCAAGCTTCACAGAAAGGTGTGAAATAAAAAAAAGAAGAACAGCAAAATCGAGCGACTCTTGGAACTCTTCGGTACTGTCTTTAATTAAAAAGGTGGCAAGTAAGCAACCAGTGCTTTCTTAAGCCTTAAGCCTAACATAAGTCGCAGCATGTTGCAACACTATTGTGGGACTGTCCATTCTTAAGCCCACAGTGACAAGGTTTTCAGGGAGGTCAACTATTGGGACCGCTTGCGCCGCGACTGGCGCGCTTGTGCCACCGGCAGGCACTCACTGGCCGAGGGGGGGCGTTTTTCTTCCCGCATACTGCTCCTGGCATATCGGTGAGCTGAGCTGCTGACCTAAAGTAAACAGGCCTGTTCCTTGTGATGTGAGCAGGTGCTAAATTCAAGGGAGTAATTAGATATTTAGATATTACAAAATATTGTTTGACCCATTCTTGGTTCATTGTAGTAGTTGCAAAGCGGACTCCGCACCAAGCCAGTACAGAAGCAAGTTGATCCTTTACATATAGTTATTCCATGTTATTCCACAACGGGATGAAACTGGATGCCTAGGTGCACTAAAATGACACCAGCTGGAAACGACCAACCCCAGTTGCTGAGGGCCCCTAGCTCGTGCCTCAGCCAGCTTCTGACATGCATGCAAGGCTTCGGTCAAGGGCTGGTCGTTCAGGTCCTAGCCAAATTTAGTAAAATCGAAACCGAAAACAAACACGATCATCCCAAGGAGTCTTGGTAAAATCAACCGAGTGGTCTGAGGTGATACATGCTGTGTATCTGGAGAGTCTGGAGGCTTGAAGTCAGACCTACAGTAATAGCAATGGCCTCCAACCGACTAGCGATGGCCTCCAACCTACTAGCGATGGCTTCCAACCTACTAGCGATGGCCTCCAACCTACTTGAGGTCAGACTCTGAAGAAAAAAGCAGGGCCCTCTGAGCAACCTGGTGAAACACGCGCTCGAGCTCGCGTTCGTGTGAAACAGCCCTTGGCTTTGCCAGGAACCATGGCCATGTTCAGATCACTCCCGGTCCAATAGACTCTGGTTGTCTTTGTGTCACCCCAAATCTGACGCACCTTGGCCCTCCAGGTCGCTTATTTCTGCTCCGCCTCTTCAACTTCTACATCTTTCTCAAGGGCTTCAGCTTCTTTGTGTAACTAATCAAGTTGAGTGATGTACGTCACCAAATCCTCATTCGACTTGCCGGTTTGAGGTGATGGGTCTGTGGAGTTGTTGTTGTCAGGGACAATGGGTGCTGCCGGCAAAGGCCAAGAACTACCTAGGGCTCCACAGGCCATTGTGCCCAGGTCATGAAGAACTGCAAGTATGGGATCCAGAACATAAACAAAGGTAGGATGATGCCCAAAGACCGCACGTACGCCATTCCCAACACCTCCTTCTCCAGCACCATGCGTTCCCTCGACCCTAAACCAAGGAAGTACGAAGAAGCAATAGCCACGAAGGTAAATGCAAACACCAAAAGAAAGACTTCCAAACCTCATATTTCTTTTGGTGCGCCTCTGGTAGGAGAGCATTCATGTACTTGAATGCCTGTTCATTGGGCTTCGAGCCACAGCTGTAGATGCACTGGAGATATCTGCAGTGGAGCGCGAATCCACCTCTTGAAAAGTGACGGCTTTGGGGAATAGGCATCTTCCTCAATCTGCATAGATGGATCCGACACCAGCTTCGAAATGTGGCCTTTGTCTATTGGATCTGCAATGTGCTCCAGCAAGCAAACTGGACGAGAGATCAATGTTCCTTCACAATGGGGAGACTGCGGGATTCTTGGCCTGCCCCTGCGGTCTCATGCTCGTTCACCGAAACTAGTACAGCAGCAAATCTCTGACCGTACACCTGGGGTTCTTGGTCCTGAATGGGATCTCTGACCTGCTCCGGCGGCTCTGGCAAACTAGACAAGCTAGTGGCGAGGGCCGTGTACTGTCATTCACTGTGACATCCACAGCAGGTCCATGAGAAAGGGACAATCGCGGCCCAATGGAAACACTCAAGGGGAAATCTTTGCCACACTCACCGGGATAGATATGTTCGGACTGTCTGACTGGCTCTCATGGAACTCGGGTGCGAACCGTTAAGAATCAACAATGAATCCATAGTACTTCAACTCACTGCAGCATCGTTGTTCTTGAGCACAAGCTGGATCGAGTCAGAGCCAGATGGGTCAATTGCAAAAGCATGAAGCTGCACAAATGAATCCAAATGAAGAAACTTTTGTTAGTAGAGGGTTCTCAAAAGATGTCTTGACTTCAACCATTTGCACGTGTGAAGGATAGCTACGGATATCCTTTTGCAAACATGTGTTCCTTTCCTAAGATGTTTAGTCCTGATCATTTCTACTCGCTGCTGCGATGTGCAAATCTAGTGCTCCAAATCTACACCACAGTACTCTCCCTGTAACGACCGTCCCAGAACTGCAGGCCGCCTGGCAGAGCTTCAGTGCCTTGCTGAAAATCACCTCCATCGAGGAGCAGTTGCAGAAAAGGAAGTTGACCACGAGGGTGAGAGATTCAACTGATCCAACGCCCTAGTAGCGTCCTTGCTCCTAGTAGCAAGGCCAGGAGCCCCTGGTAGCTTCTTGTTCCTAGTAGTAAGGCCAGGAGCCCCTAGTAGCGTCCTTGCTCCTAGTAAAAGGAAGTTGACCACGAGGGTGAGAGATTCAACTGATCCAACGCCCTAGTAGCGTCCTTGCTCCTAGTAGTAAGGCCAGGAGCCCCTGGTAGCTTCTTGTTCCTGGTAGTAAGGCCAGGAGCCCCTAGTAGCGTCCTTGCTCCTAGTAAAAGGAAGTTGACCACGAGGGTGAGAGATCCAACTTGATCCAACGCCCTAGTAGCGTCCTTGCTCCTAGTAGTAAGGCCAGGAGCCCCTGGTAGCTTCTTGTTCCTAATAGTAAGGCCAGGAGCCCCTAGTAGCGTCCTTGCTCCTAGTAAAAGGAAGTTGACCACGAGGGTGAGAGATCCAACTTGATCCAACGCCCTAGTAGCATCCTTGCTCCTAGTAGTAAGGCCATAGGCGTTAGGCTCAAGCCTACACGTGGCACGCCCGTTGCCACCGTGTCTTTCACGGTGGCGCCGATTGAGCCATGGCACTCGACGTTTTGCCGATCTCCACATCCTGGCGACACTCAACCTGTTGGAAGGGAGCAGGACGCTTCAATATTGTGCCCTGCCAGGTCCTGCAGCGTACAAGGGATTTTGTCATTCTGACTGCAGTGGATCCAGAAGGTGTCCTGCTGAAGCTCAAGGTTCCACAGCGGTTCCTACACTTCTTTCATTCAGACGCTGCAACAGCGATAGTGGTTATGAATGTGGTAAGCTGCGGTTTGGCTGTCAGTCTCCTTTTGAGCCATTCCCGGAAGACCTCTTCCTGACCAGGGATATTCCAAAGCTCAGCGGAAAGAAGTGGAATCCTGACTACCGTCCAATCGAAGATTTTTTCGAACCTTGGGCCCAACAGTTTGCATCGTCGGAACAGCAAGCAGGTTATGGCTTGGTCTCTCAATTCGACGAGCTTACAGAACCATGGATGGAAGGCAAATTTGAGGCCCTTCAAACATCGTGCAACACAGCAAGTGGGGAGGAGGAACGATATGTCATTGACATGGACGCTCATTTGACACCTAAGATCTCCCCACGCGCGTATTCACATGATTCAGAATATCCAGAGCACGATGAACTATGGGCATACTGCCATGGGAATTTTAGACGGGGACATCAGTCAGATGAGATATCCCATCCAGACCACCGTGGGCCTGAATGGTTTGATTTCCGTTCTTCTACATCCAGTACATCCGCTGGCAATGTCTATCATTCCATGCCACGTCTCTTTGACGCTGTTCGAAATGAAGAGCTACCCTTGCATTTGAATTCACGTGTGTCTTCCACATGTACTGCATGCATAAGTGGTCTTTACCATTTATTTGCACTGAGCACCAAGGGCCAAAGTTTGATGTCATATCCCATACAAGCTGACCCACCACCGGTTTCGGTTTCTTCTCAAATTGTCAGTAATGAGACTTCCCAGTATACACCATTAGCTGCTGACGAGGATATGAAGAAAAGCGATTTTGTCAAGGCCTATTGGAATCAAACCGTCGAAGATTGCCAGACAAAGGAAGCCCGGTCCCTTGATATCTTTGACCTTCACCAGTTTTGTCGATCCAATCGGATTCATCAGTCTCGGGACCCACAATTCCGTTCTAGATTTCACTCGATTCCGCATTCTAAGACATATCAGCTCCATTCGAACAACGTGCCTTCGCGAATACCCAGAACTCGTGATGACTCGTTTGGGGGGATGCCATGGACTCACTCTAGTCCCTACAGAACTCCAGAGATATCCATATGCCATCCGTGTCAAGAAAAGGCTATTGTTCCAAGGAATCGAAACATCAAGACGCACACAGTAAAGAAATCTAGTGAACATCCTTCCTCGGCATCATTCGACTGTGCACTGACCCAGGTCAGGACTCTTGCCTATGCACAACATGAATTGCAATCCTCACAGGATTTCAAGCATGTTCATGTCTGCAGTGAACAACAAGAAGTGCCACAGGAGGCCACTGCAGAAGGCACCACACCATTTATGCCTTCACAATCAGCAATGTGTTGGTCGCCAAATTCGATTGAGTTAGTTGGCTTTTCAGCTACTCCGCCTGATGACTCACACTATCGTGACAGCAATCCCGATCTTTTGCCCGTTTGTTGCCCCTCGTCATGGACAGACTCTCGGGTCGAAACGATGAACTTGAATAGCAACATGAGTTGTACAGACCATTTGACAGCTGTACGAGATGCCTTCATTCCTCCTCATTTGCTCCTCAAGTCGGAATCCATTTCGTATGACACAGCATACTCCAAAGACCTTACAGCTATTGACACACAACAGGATCAATCCTGGCCACCCAAGTGTACAGTTCTACTGAGACGAGATGACCACCTCAAGCTATGTCAACAGCATCATACCACCTCTAGGGGGGCTGTACCCGTACACAACAACACTCCATCAGGGAGCATTGCAGACATTCGGTGGTCGCAGTTCAGTGCAGCGTTGGAACCGAGAGTTGTTAGTCAGGCACAAGAGGCTATTATTGGTAAACAAGCATGCTGTGTTTCACGGCAGAGACCTAGACATCAGATTGGCAGTCTTCATCCAGTTCCACTACATTTAACCACATGTATTGGGGCTGTACCCGCTTACCACATCATCTCCTGGCGAGGAGTTTCAGACCCAGATCAACTGATGTCAGCCTTACAGTATCCAGATGATCTTCAGGGAGCAATCTCTGATTTTGACGTCAGCTCACAGTTCCTCCTCGTAGCAGATTACAACTTAGATGGATACTACAATGACAGGTGGCTAGGCAACGACCTTGAGCTTGGTGCCGCATTTTGTTCTGCTCCCTTGGGGCGTCACGACTCGCTCCATGTTCAGATCACCAAAGAGTCATGTTTGCAGCATTGTGTACGACCTGATGCTGATCTCCATGGTTTCTTCCGCACAACTTTCTCGGGGCAAGGCCATCCTCTACACCGTTTTACCACATCTAGTGGGGCTGTACCCAATGACAACTACAGGTTTTCAGACTGTTTCAACGACTCCGACGATGATATTCACATCTTATTTGATCTTTGTCATACAATGACAACTTATCGATATTCTTCAATTGGTCAAACAGACAAGCCAGTTCAGCCTGATGACGTCGATGCTTTCGAAGAGACTTCGCACAGTCATCTACTGGAGTCAGCTGTCATTCGGCCGTGCACTTCACCTTCCGCCCGGAAATGGCAACACAGGTCAAACGAGTTGACGACACTTACTGATATTGCACTTTCTCAAATTTTGACAGATTCTTCAACAAGCCCATCTGCCTTTTTCTGGCCTTTTGACTCGTACCAAGTTCAGATCAACATTGAGTCATGTCTCGTGAGCCTTACGGACGAATCATCAGTCAACAATGCAGCAGGGAGTTTTTGCAGTTCCGTGCCGTTGAGAACACAGCTACATCACTCTGCAGGACGACCAGTTTTATCTGGGCTTGATAATCTGACCTCTCCGGAGAATCGCCCGTGTCCACAACAATGTACTACATGGAGTGGGGCTGTACCCAGTGACAACCGTTTGTTTTCTGGTGTTTACACCATTTGCAACGATGAGATTCTTCCGATTTTTGACCTTCACACTCACACCGTCGCTCAAGCAAGTCTACTGCGATCTCCTGAGTTGATGACGACTTCATCTAACAACCATGATAATCGTATTGCGGCTGGGTGGACACCGCTACATGACCATCGACCATTACACTTTACCACATTTAGTGGGGCTGTACCCGGTGACAATCACTTCTACCTCTCTGACAAGAATTGCAGTAATGGGAACGTAGTTTTGCCGTTCGACCCATGTCAGACAACTCCGCCGGAGTCAGACTCTAGAGTCGGTTGTGTTGATGCTCCGGTCGCACTTAGTCGTCTTGACAATCTACCGATACCGATAGTTAACCTCCCAAGTTATGGTTCTT